TTTTTTTTCTTTGTATAAATCCTGTTGGGCATCTCATTGAAATGCACAAGAATTTAAACTTTGAAGGGTTTTGGAAGGGTGTACTGATTAATTTCCTTGGTAAACACGATGTTTATACAACACCTCATTTGATTTTAGCACTGCCTATTTCTAGTATAAACAAACATTTAGTAGCAAGCATAGAAGAATAAGCAGATAATCTGAAAGAGGCAAGCATTTCAGCTGTTTGGAAGCTGGTAGCAGGAGTGAGGTTGCAAAGTATAAATGATTGAAGTATCTATATTTGTACGAATTTCCCATAATTGAGAGATGCCTTGGATTCTAACATGAGAGGAATTCATTGCAGAATCTCTCCATGCCTGGTTTAGACTTGAGGTACCCCTCCGTTGCAGGGCTGAGCATGTCTGTGTATCTAACTGCAGCAGATCCCAGGGGAGCCACAGGCAGGCAAATGGAGGCTGTAAATTTCTTGCCTGCCTATGGCCTGTCATGACTAATACATAAGTCAGGGGACACCTAATCCCCTCTACCATATTATATGTTGGCAAGATGGTGGAAGGGCTTTGTTGAAGCAGGAGTTATGACTACTTTTATTATCATAGTTCTCATGGTCAGAAAGCAGCTACTAGCCCTTATAAGGTTTTACAGTCTTCTAAAACTCCAGTTATAAAGTTGCTTTAAAAATCCACAGTGGTTTTGTTCTGAAGGGCTTAAAAAGTCTAAGGGCATTCTAGCATTGCAGTGTTTAAGGCACAGATCCAAATGATACTGCCTTTTCCATTAATTTAGTGTTCAACCTGCATTTCTAGAAATGAAGCTCAGTTCCCTTGTTTTGCAATACTGTATTTTACATTTCTTATGCTTTTGCGGTAACCTTGAGATGACATTGTTTTGCCTGCTACACCTCATTTCTTCTGATGGTGTGGTTTATTTTGTGCATACACTGGGCAGATGATTATTAGAATAAGACATGAAGACTTCTGCAACTAATCTACTAGACAACTGAGAATATAGATAATTTGTCATGTGAAAATGTCTTATCGATGGATACTGAACTGTTTCTGAATTCAGTGCATGAATTGTGTGAAACAAGGTGGGTTGCTTGGTATACTGAGTTGCAGATGAAGTTTTCTCTTACAAGCAATTTGTCTGTCTTCTTTGTGACGACATGAATAGCTTATATGAATTTTTCTTCAGCAAGGTGTTAAAATGGTGATTAATACACCATGATTAGGGTTATATACAATGTTAACAGAACACCCTAAAGCTTCATATTCATTAAAAATAGCTCTCTGCACCATGGGATTACCTGGCAATGTGTATAATTATCTGGATCAAGTGTAAACAACCAATTTAATTTCTGACGAATAAGCTAAAGTACATGATGCAGAGTGCTTTGCGTTGACTATAAGAGGGCCAAATGATATGCAGTATGTTATAAAGTTTGCCAAGATGAAGTTACGACTACAAAATTCTGAATCTATCTGAGCCGTTAGCGTGGGTTTACATGATGTTGTACTTTGCATCATTCAGGCATGGTGCTTTTGATCTAAGTTCTCTAAAACTGTCACATTGTGAAACAGCATGATGACCTGAAGGTGCTTGTGAGATTAGCAGGTATCATGCTTTATTTTGCTTTATCATTTTGGAAGATCCAGTTAAGAAGGTAGTTAGGAATATCTCAGCCAAAACATTACAAAAGTGTACAGAGAGTTCCCAGTGTTATTCTCTACCTTTTAACCCCTGTTTTTGCTTCATACTGTGTGCTAGCGTGCACCACTTCTCCCAAGTCACTGCATTTCAAAAACACTGAATGTATAGGTTACTTTGGAGTATGAGTGAAAAGCCTGAGGAAGATCAGTTTTAATTAAATTACTCTGAAATTTTCATAACCCAAGATTTCAGACAATTATTGTTTCCCTTCTGAAAAGGCGATCAATGTGAAGAAATATTACTGTTGGCTGGAGCAGAGGGGCACATAGGAGCTGACCTAAAAAACCTATGGAAAATAATGGTTCTGCAGGAGCTCAGCCAGAACCTTGCAGATTTTGGAGCTTCATGTAAGAAATCAAGAGGAGCAAATATCTGTATAACACAAGAGTTGACAGCAGTCTTTGGACTGACAATAATCTGTGGTTGGTTAGGCTACTGGTTGGTAGAGACGTGCACTCAGGGCTGTACAGTACTGTAGTAAAAAGAAATGTTAAAAACACATGCATCCTGCCTACAATGCATTTGGAAGTAATGATCACTAAACCATGACTCCAGCATCAGCCTCCTTTTTGTTTCTAGAGTTTTTCAGCTCTAAACATGATCTGTTAGCACAGCTTGGTCAGCATATCACCTTTTCCTGGCCTCTGTATGAAAGCCTCACCATTTTTCCTTCTCCTTTTTCCACTTGTGGGATTGCTACCTTCTCCTCCCTGCCCCACCCAGAACAGGAGTCTCAGTGCTGAGGACCCCAGGGCAGTGTTCCTGCCTTGACTCAGTTAACTCCTGCGCTGACCAGCCCTGCCCGGCAATCACAGCTTGAGCAGTTCGTTCTTTCCTCGATGCCTTTTGCCCGCGTATGAGCATCTGCACCCGAAGTGCTGTACAGGAACAGTACCGCAGGGATTCTCAAGCAGTGAGGTGTGCCCATGGTACTGACAAAGTACCATTTTTACTGTCATTGTTTATACTCTGCTCTGAGTAAAACAGGCCCAGTCAGTTGGAAGAAAAATGGTGCTGTTTGGATCGTGTCTCTGCTGGAAGCTGTGCCAGCACACACACGCCAGGGAGGGATCGGACCTTTGCACTCTCTTTCCAAGCTCTGCAGGCAGAAGCCTGCAGTTATCTTTGTACTTCACTGCTCTGAAAGCAGTACTTGCCATTCTTCGCCCCAGTCCTTGCTTTACTTAGTGCTGTGTGATACTTTGCTCAGACGTCACATCAAGGAGGGGCTGGGAGCAACACACCTTCTCAGGCCGCTGCAGAGCGCAGCTAGGGCTTCACCTTGCTAGAAAGCACTGCCCCAAAGCTTCACAGAGATTAATTTGTGGAGGACATCTGCAACCAGACACTGATGAAGGTTGTAAAAAGTAGTATTTTTTTCCTTTGTAAAGCCTGGCATATTTTCAAAGCATGTATTTACTCAGCAGCCACTTCAGTGTATTTTAACTGTAACTATGCATGCAGAACTCCTCAGGGAATAAGTATTTAGATGCTGCTCATCAGAGTCCGTGATGCATTTGGCTGAATTCTCACTTCTTGGAATAAACAAACCCTGAGCAGTAATACATTTGCAAGTTTTCCTTGTTTTCAAGAGGTTTTTTGGCAAAAATGGAATTTGCTGAGAGGATCAAAAATTTATTAGGTTTACTTTTCACACTATAGTAAAGGGTTTTAGTTCATCGTAAAAGTGTTTTTACACATTTGAGCATTTCTTGAATATTTTGTTCCACTGACTCTTCTGTAAATAATTACAGATTTTTAATTAGCAATATTTGTAACAATATTTGCAACAATATTTGCAGGACTACAGATATAATTTTAAAATATAGCTATATGTTAGCAAGCTAATTAAGAAGCTGGAGGCAATGTTGCTCAAACAGCTTTTTGCACGTTTGTAACTCTGATTCCTATGGAGAGAAAGATTATTTCAGATAGCTTTCTTGAGGAGGGATGGACTTGCATTATTACTTCCTGAGAAATGAATCATCATTTAGGCTTTTTTGTCCAAGTCACCTTTTGCACAACAGTTGTCACTTAGAAAATACGCCAGCCCCACTGTGTTCCATTTACCTTTGTTTAATGTGCATCTCTGCATAGGCTAGTTAGCATTTACAAGCTCTGAACTCTCAGTCATTCAAATTAAAATAGCAACTTGTTTGTCCATAGTTGCAGTAGAAATGATTTTATGTGCAGTGAAAGTGTGTATTCTTTTAAATAAGAGCTGTAGAGATGCATTTCTGCGCTGGCAGACTGGCTAGCTTTGTCGCTTCTTACTTAACATTTCAGTTGTATTTCCCATGACATTTTTCTTGTACCTTTCAAAGCAACAGCAGCAATATGAATGTAACATTGGTGAATCACTAATGCTTAGGAAGGGGGAAAATCTTGCTGGTGCTGCAGCACAAAAGACTAAGTGAATGATAAATGTGTGACAAAGCAAAAAAAGGCTTTGGTACAGCCAGGAATTCAAATCTACAGGTCAAAATTCATGTTTCTGTAGAAATTATAGGACTAGAGCCATCTTAAAGGCCTTGTAATACCAGGAATTTCTTTAATTGTATGGGTTATTAAGGCTGAGTCAAGTTCCAAAGGTATGTATGTGCCTTAAACATAAAAAAATATGCAAATATCACTTCTGAAGGAAACTGCAACCGTGCTTTTAACTACAGTGCAGTCTTTCATGCAGTGACACAGTCGTAAGAGCTGTCCTCAGTCCGAGACAGGTGTTGGTGAGATTGCAGCTCTGCTTTTTCCTCCTTCAGAAGTGCAGGGTGCATGCAAGGCAGTATTTTTCAAGTAAAAAAGGGCTAGAGGTTTTTCCTGGTTACTTAATTTTAAGGAATCAACTTTGGTCTGTGTAGATACAAATGAAGTTATTGGAAGTTAGCTGAAAAGGGCTGTGCTGAACACTGCACTGCCTCTTTCCTGTTTCGAAATTCTGCTAAGAGATGTTATGAGCTTTCTGCACCAATCCTGCAGCAAAGAGGAAGCAGCAAATAATGATTTCCTATCTCAGTTCACCAGTTTAAGCTCTAAAGAAAGGTTTGATGATTAAGCTTGAAATTTTTTTCTCACAAGATTAATCCTTACTTTAGGGAGTAATTCCATTTATATCAGTAAGATTACTCACGTGAGTGACCAGCTACAGAATTTGCCCATAGTACTGTGGTTGCCTAAGGGGAAGTACAAGCAACTCTGCAATTAAAATTACAGAAAGAAAAGGAGGTCTGAACTTTTCTTTTTTTTTTTTTTTTTTTTTTTTAAGTGTATATATATGCCTACTGTTTCACTGACGAGTGACAATGGCTTTTGCAATCTGAGGTGTTACTAGCAGCAGCTCAACATGGCTTTTCTTTAAAAGGAAAGAAATACTAAATGCTAAAGCTCCATTGTGAAAGGCAGAAGGAGGAGGGTCTCTGATGAGGAGTTTTAACTTCGAGGCACCTTAGGCTTTCCTTATGTGCATCACATTAGTGGAAAATTCCTTCATTTCTTTAAGAAGATAAACAGTTGTAAGTCTCACGTTTGGTTGAGGTGACATCAATGCCTGGCTGGAACTGCCAGCATTCCAAAAAGGATATCGTCCCCATCTGCAGCCACTCAGGGCTGCGGGGCGGAGCCTGCAGCACCAGCCGGGCCCAGTTCAGGTGCATAAGTAGGTCGGGCAGGGCCCAGGTGATGCACCTGCCTCAGCCAGGGGCCTGAGCACAGCTCTGTCAGAAGTGATCACCCGCCTGCGGTAGAGCATGAGCTCCTTTGAGCCACAAACACACTCTCCACCACGCTGCAGCCCACAGTTTCCAAATATCGGTCAAGAACCTCCAGAGATGAGTATCTACTACGAGAACTTTTTCCATCCACAGAACATCCCTAGCCCACAGCGTCCGAGCACCTTTGAGACGACGGATTACAACGCCACTCCCAATCCCTACCTCTGGCTAAATGGACCTTCCATTACCCCACCACCCTATCTCCCAGGATCCAATGCCAGCCCCTTCATTCCTCAGCCTTACGGGATGCAAAGGCAGCTCTTGCCTAACATGCATGGCCTGGGAGGAACTGACCTTGGCTGGCTTCCGCTCCCGTCCCAAGAAGAGCTGATGAAGTTGGTTAGACCGCCTTACTCTTACTCTGCACTTATTGCCATGGCTATCCATGGAGCACCCGAGAAGAGGCTGACTCTCAGTCAGATCTACCAGTATGTAGCTGATAACTTCCCATTTTATAACAAAAGCAAAGCTGGCTGGCAGAACTCTATACGGCACAACTTGTCTCTCAACGACTGCTTCAAGAAGGTGCCCCGAGATGAAGATGATCCAGGTATAGTACTCTCCTCCTCCTTTTCCCCCCCTCTAATTAAACCTGATTAATTTAAAAATGCTTAATATATTGTAAAGAGACAAAATAACCTAGATACAGAACATACACAAATTAGGTTTTCTATTTTCTAGAATATTAGAAGGCGACTATGCATGGTTGAGGTCTGAATCGGTGTTGCTATTAAATCTCTGAAGGGAAGGGGATTCTCCACTGCTCTGGGTCTTTCTGAGAACTGATTAATGTGCTGAGCATGAGGCGCAGCAAGCCCAGGAGCAGCCTGACTGAGTGAGTCACATTCAAACCCCCTTTGGTGTAATGTATAAGGCTTAAGTCAAAATTAACTGGGCATTCATGGAAACGAGATAAGGCAAACTCAGATTTGTCAAAGAAATCCCACAGCTTTAGGGAGTCAGCAAGAATTCTCAAGAGAAGAGCAGGCTGCTTTTATTGTTTGTTTCAAATTACGTTTTGCTTGGAATCACACCTCTGCTGTTTCCAACCCCTTGACTGATATGCTGTCAGATTTTTCTTTTATTTATTGTTTTCCATCAATAGCTGTTGAGAACCATTGAGAACATTTAAAAGCCATTCAATTATGCTGACACAGAGAGCCAAAAATCTGGTTCTAGCCTGTTAGAAACCTATCCTACCCCACTGAATCTAGAGTAGTAGCCCAGTATGGGATTTGATTACTTTCTGCTGTAAATTCAGAGGACCAGCTATATAGTGAAAACCTCCTTCCCTCACCAAGAAAACATAACAAAAAGAGCCAGTGGCTCCACTTGTAGTTTTACCTGTATGAAGTGTCAAGACTAAAGGATACAGCCCAAAACTTCACACTTTTTTTCTGAATTCAACAGACATCTGCTTTTGTGTGATTAAAATCACATGGTTTTTGCTCATGTAATTGTTCTGTTTCTGTGAAATGAGTGAAACGTTGTAAAGCCCTGGATAACTACTCTTTTCTGTCTGCGTGTATATTTTTAAATTAAAAATGTGCTTTTGTCCCCTTTGACAGGAAAAGGGAATTACTGGACTCTGGACCCAAACTGTGAAAAGATGTTCGATAATGGAAACTTTCGCAGGAAGAGGAAAAGGAAATCTGACATTGGGGCTAGTGCTGCCACCCTTGTATCTGAGAAATCGGAGGACAGTGCCCTGACTGGCAGCCCCAAAGTTGTAGAGCATCAGGATATCTTGGAAAACTCGTCACCTGGGACTGACAATTCACCTGAGAAAGGATCTCCACCTCCATCTTCCAGTAGCCCATGCCTCAGTAACTTCCTCTCCAGTATGACTGCATATGTTAACGGCTCCAACTCAGGGAGCCGCTCTGTGCCGCTGGGACTCAACACTGAACCCATTGACAAAATGGGACAGAACATGGTGGGCTTTAATTCCTACTCTCCACTCCCCAATATCCCCAGTCATGGTGGAGGAGAGTGGTCCAATTCTATGCCTTCTAGCCACCTTGGCTACAGCAACTCTGTGCTCAACCAGTTTAACACCCATTTTTACAGCAGTATCAGCACAAACAACACACTCTATTCCAGGGAAGGAACAGAGGTTTAAATGAAGGATTCTAAGACACCAAGGTGTAGCTATTTGTGAGAGAAATGACCTGTGGGCAGATGATTAGCGTTAGCCTGTCGACTCTGGGACCCACATTGCATCCTACCTTCTGACAGCCACAAACTTGTTACTCATTATACTTACATCACAAACACTCCACATTCAGCAGCTCCACACACAAAATCAGGTGTTGTAGCAGCAAGAGTAGTGAAGAGTTCTCCTGGGACACTGTGCTTGTATTGCTGCTGACTGTGGTCCTCTACAGACATCCTTGAGAAGTTACTGCTTGCTTTAGGCATGAAGCTTTTTTTGGCATGGTACTAATATTTCTGTGCTTTAAAAGTGCTCATAGAAATGTGGTCATGTCTCTAAATATCCTCTCTTGCTGATATAGGCTGTCTGTACTAGGCATGCTTAGCAAGTTCTTATTTGGCCAAAGCTATTCTGAGGCACCAAAGGATCTGTAATAAAAACTACTGTATAGTGAGCAACAACCACCACTTGAATGGCAAGTGCTGTCTTTGGTTTTCTCTCATACTAGTGCATATATTATATAAATTTTGATCCCTTTTCAACCCCAAGGAGAATATGGCTGTGAAGCAAGCTAGCATCCCCATGGGCACAACAGTCATTTTGAAACTGAAGTGGAAGCATGACAAAATATAATGGAATTGTCTTCTGCTGGTACAGTTGGATCTTAATGTTTTCAAATCTAATTACAGGGTCATTTTTTTTTTTTTTTTTTTTTGCCTTACACATGCGAATCTATTCACATAAGGAAAACAGGATCTGTCCTGAATATATATGTAAAATACATGAGGTTTTTAAGAAGAAAACACATTTATTCTATCTTAACATTCTACGTGAAACATTTCTACTGAGCAAAGAATTTGAATATTGAAGGGGGGAGAGGAAAGAGCAAAGGGGAGGAAGAAGGTTTAATTATCTCTGAGTTTCAGTTCCAAAGGCTAGATCTTTCCAAGTATCGGTTGCAGATATTGTAAAAAGTCCCTGTACTGTATTTTTTTTTCATTTTGTAAAAGTCTGTGCTGCTTGTCCTTGTGTAGATACTAGAAAGAATGCTTATTTTTCCTATGCTCTACTGTAGCTACAAACAATATTTCAAAACATATATGAAGTTTTTTCAAACAAAGACTTGAATCAAGTTCCATATTTATGTAGAGTAATATCAAGCTGGATAGACTGCAGCATACATAAACAGCAAGTTCAGCTGTTCATATCTGGGCACTGACCAGACATTTGGAAAAACAGAAATCATATTAATACATTGTAATAGATGATGTTTTGTCTTGATTTTTGTTTTTTTAAACTCTATATGGGTATAGTTTTGTTAGGGGCCTCCCCAGAAGCATTTTTAATAAAGCATTTGTGTAGAAGAGTGTGTACCTGTGTGTGTGTACTATAGTAATGTCTTTAAAAGGATCCTTAATAGTTTAACTGGAGAAATTTGCCTGAGGAAGGAGCAGTATAATAGTCATAGGTCGGTGACTGAGATAGCGTATGCCTAGGCAATCAAAATTTGCATGCCTGAGGAGTATAATTGGCTGCTATTATGCAAAATACTATCACTAAATAAAAATCATCCTTATAGTTTCCCTGCTGGAATTAAGTGGTGCTAATCATTTAAAATTTCAGAAACCAGACTATATTTTTGTGTGCCAATTAGCCAATATGACCACAATCTTTGCTGCATTCTTAATTATTATTTTATTTTTTATGTTTTAACTTTTTCACTAGCAAGGCTGCCGTGACCAGTCAGAGTTTTGCACCCACTAGGATTATTTCTCGGGAGTTGAAACCTACCTACACCGCTAACGTTGTTGTTCAAGACAAAAAATAACATGATTTTCTAGTGGTGTCCTGCTGCCATGACTGTAAGTTCATCTGAAGTCAGGCACATGCTGAGGCCTGAGCTGTAACTCCTGACCTCAGAATTTTACAGCCCTGCCAAGAATCTCAGGCCAAGAGGTGGACCATGATATGCCCTGCAGCCGAGCAGCTCTCAGCATTTGTTATAGAGATATTTGCTCCTGTGACAACTGAGAAATGCATTGGCAGTGCTGTTATGTCTTGGATTCAGCAGATACACAACAAATTGCCCAGAAATCTAGTTCCTGTGGAGTATATGGTTCACAAAACTGAGAGGAAATTAATTTCTTTAGTGGTGAAATGCAAAATGCTCCGTTATGTATTTACAGAGCAAAACCAGGGGGAAAAGTAAGGTGTAAATTATGCTAAGAAGAATGATGTTGCTAAACAGCAGCAGAGAGTAGAAAGTAACTCCTTTGTCCCTCAGCATTTTGTTTGACTCTCCTTGTTCCCAGTCCCAAATAATAAAAGGAAATCCATACAGGTATGCAAAAGGACAAGAGTTTTTGCCTCATTGCTTCCCAGATGCAGTCAACTAAATACCACTTTTGGCTTATGCATAATGAGGGAGTGCTGCCAAAATGCCGGTTCGTCACGGGCAGAGGTAAATTTTCCGGTGGGTTCCCTGACCACAGAGATTAACCAGCTTCCCTGCAACCATCCAGCTGGCTTGACACATCAGCTCAGTTGATGAAGCCGTTGTTCCAGCAGTGGAAAGATGATTGCATGTGATGTAATCCTATTTCTCCTCAAAACAGAACTACTTTGTAACAAAACAAATTAGGAACACTCTCCATCTGTATTTTTGTGTTTTTCAGAGAGACTCGGTTTTGATAACCAGCCATATTGATACATTCCTGGAGCTACTGCACATCAGTCTAGCACCTGCAGGGACACTGAACTACTATTCTTACATGAGCAGCAGCTCTGCTCTGTCAGAGGTAACGCTCCTATTCACGTATTTTATCAGTGTGGTAAACATACGGCTTTTGGAGGGAAACATCTGGTTTTTAGGGTTTTGGTGTCTTTAAGCATGCTGTTAAACTGAGACCTGTAAGTGAAATACATTTAAAACATTGCTGATCTTTACAGGCTTACAGTCTGAGTTACAAGCACATTTGCTGAATGATGCTGCTTGTAAAGAGAATTTGGGCTACAAGAACTCGGGAGTAGTTTTGTCTGTAAAGATTCTTGATTAATTTTTCATTCTTAGAGTGTGTTTTGTGTTGAGATGCAGCTATCTTCACATACCACTGCGGACACTGTGTTCCATGACTCTGCAATTATTTGTTCCCGGTTTAAAAAAGTTAACACTTAAAGGCTTCTTCCTTCTTGCCACAAACACATCCAGCCCTAAAGTGGTCAGAACACCTTACTACTTGATTTCCTTCTGCCATAGTAAAACTGCAACTATTAGAAGCCTTCACTGGCAGGCAGTGTGTCTTGACTAATGATGAGTAAAGAGTTCCTATATCTATCTGAGGTATACTGCTGCTGAATCCCTGGGGCAGCTTCACTGTCACTGACCCCGTCAGAAACACCTTCCCAGGGTTCTTATCCCACAGTTGCCTGGTTCCACGTCCTGGGTCTGCAGCAGCGGAGTCTGTGACTTCAGCCCTGGCTCTAGTACCAGGGAGGGCGTTGAGACCCAAACCGTGTTAGTGATTTGGGGTTTCACAGCAGAGATCTGGGCAACCCGGGATCCCTTGTACCACAGCCTCGGGGTTGTTCTACCTTGTCATGGGATCAGCTGCAAACCCTGGAGTCCTGCAGGACAGGCGCTGCTTTAGCTGAGGACATGGAGCTCTCAGGGTTTTGTAATCAACAATCTTTATTTACAAAAAAAATCCCAACCACACAAAAAAACCCACTAGGTTTGAGTAAAATGAAGCCACAACAAGGTAGCATTAAATGTGAGACTCGCTCATCTGCTAAATCCAAACCAGTCTGTTGATCAGATAATTGCAGACAGCTTAGGGGAAGAGTACAGGGGAGCAACATTAGATGCAAAGCTTGCACTAATGATGAGGATACAATGGAGAGCTGTTAGCAGCAAGATCTGCTAAATCTCTTGTTACAGTCAGTATGCAGGAAATGTAATTAATCTGCATGGCAATTTACTCTGTGCTTCATATTTATTTTAAGGGCCAAGCTTGTTGTGGAGCTTTTTACTGGATTAGGCAAAGTAGTCAAAGATCATTCTTTGCTGGTATTTACTTTATTAATGGTAATGGTTTGCCTAGATTATGAATGCAGGGTTTAATATTCACTCTGAAGCTACTGTTTCACTGTTCTGGCTGCATGTGAAGTTTCCATCACTCATCACCCCCTCCTGTAGGTTCTTAGTGCCTTTCACATCCTGATAATTCCACCTGCACAAATGCTTAAGTAATATTTTTTAACTTTGATTCAGTCAGAGTGAACCAGGCTCAAGAAAAATCCTATTAAGACTTGCTAATGTTAACCTGAATAGTTTGTGCTAAATCAGTTTTGGGGTGATTATGATGACAGACCGGCGTACAGATGCATCATACTTTGTGGCAGACTGCAGGGCTGGGGGAGAGAACCTTTCCCATTTCATCAGTGGTGAGTGACAGCCAGCACACACTTGTTAGAGAGAGGAAAAAGTTGGTGTGGCTGTTGCAAACCATGTAAACATGCTTTCTGTAAACAGTAGGAGACTTCTAAATCACACACCAAAAAAAAATCTAAAATGCTAAAGCCTCTTGATGCAGTGATGAACACTCATGCAATGCTCAGTGAACAATTACCAGTATAAATGTCTGATTATTGTTTAGCTAGTTTTCCAAATGCAGTATGACCTTCTTAGTATTTTGATCTTGTATGAAAAAACATTAGAAAAAGAAACTGTGCAAAATACCATAAAAAGAGTTTGCAAATACATTGGGTTTCATTCATACCTGTCTTACAAAACAAACATCTAAGACTGTAATATTCTTACAAAGTGGAAGAAGAGTAAAGCTAGACCACAAAGCTTAAAGATTTGTATTCAACTGTAAGAGTCTATAATGCCTGACCTTCCAGATGACAAACTGCTGAGAGCTTAAATGTTACTTCTTGTTCAAAGATGACACCAGGAGGTGTGGTGCAGCTATCTGTAAAGGAAAAGCACGTTCCAGTCCTGCCAGTATTTACTTCTCCAGTTAATAGCAATGGGGACGTTGCCAGATACATTGTGAATTACAATGCACTAACCTTTCTCTCATGATGGGATACATTATGAAATTCTTCACTGTTCAGTAGTGTCAATAGTTTCTTTGTTGCTTCATGTGAGAACATTCCCAGGTGAGGAAAATAATGAACTTCTTCCCAGTAGGTTTGCCAATTCATAACACTGCCAGTTTATGGCACTTCACAGGAACCCTTACAACAGTTTCCAATGGATCTTGGAAACATCTGACCCAGACCTATGTGATTTTTTGCCAAAGTGTCCACACCTCGAGATCTCTGAAGTATGAACCAAAAGCATGCTGTACGCTTCTTATAACCTCTAGCTTTCCCTGCTTTATGTGCTGACCAACTGCAAGAATCTGTATTTCTGTAGTCCTGGAGGTACTGCTGTTAGGTACATCGGTATTTGTCATGTGCTAGAAACCTGCAGGGCTGTCAGTGCCTGGACAGAAAGACACTCAAGTTTTTCTTTTTTATTATGTGGCTCTAGTTGTAAGCTGGTACGGACTTTCACCTACCCAAACAACTGCTCCTGGGTGGACTTGCACTATATACTGTCTGCTGATATCCCATGCAAATTAATTTTCAGAATACTTCTCTAGAACTAATTATTGCATGCCTTGTGTCGGTTAAATTGCAGTATAAATTACGTTCTACCTCAGCTTGGGTTTGATTCTTTTTGAATCCTAAAAGCATTCCTCTCCAAATCTCTTTGCAGAAAACAGTGGTTTTAGCTTTGTGCAGCGTATGATATCCGTTGCTTTTTTAAGGAGCAAGGTGGCGAGTCAAGCCAACACTAGAAGTAGCTAACCCTCATTTCTAACCTGCAAGTTACTCGTTTCTATATTTCATTGGTAAAAAAAAAAAAAACCCAAACTATTACTTGTTCCTTTGACAGAGATTCCTGATGAAATCTTGCAATGTACCAAGAACCCCAACTCCCCTCTATTTAAACTGAAACAGGAGAGCTCAGCTCCTTGCCTGTTTGAGCCAACGTTGACTGATGCATCTCACCTGCGAAGGACACCATGGCCCCGCGGGCATCAGGGCCCCTCCTACTGCTCTCTGCCTTCAGAAGGCCCCTGCAAGCACACAGCAGTTTGCTGGATTAGGGCCTAAGGCAGCAATTAACTGATGGATTGTTTTCCCTGATTTTTATTTTACAGTGGTATTTGTGTATACCACCCTAAAATGCTTCCCCAGTCACTGAATTTCTTCTCTGATCAGAGATGTCTTTTGTCAGAAATGACTATCAAATGAGCAAACATTGAACCTGTTTCCTGCTAGTACTGGAAATGGTACGTGGAAATCTTATACTTAATTT